TTTCTTTTATAGGATTTATAAAGAATTATTCATGTAAGGATCTGACTACTGCCTGTCCCATTGGTTAGACAGTAAGCTCCAGAAGAGCATCTCTTTTGTTGCATAGTTGTTATTTGTTCTTACATTTTTAATTAAGTACCTTGAGCTAGAGATCCTCTCTTATGATAGGGTTGTTGAGAGGACTGAAAAGTTAATATATGTAGCACATATGCACACAGTAAACACTACATAAGTGTGTGCTGCTATTGTTCATCTTTAAGGAGCTCTGGTGGCATAGTGCCTAAGGCATCTGACTGCTAACCAGAAAGCTGGTGGTTCAAACCCACCAGCCACTCCTCAGAAGGAAAATTGGGCAATCTACTTCCGTAAAGATCCTGCCTCAGAAACCCAAGGAGGGGTTGCTATGAGTCAAATTGATTCAATAGCATTGAGGTTTTTTTTGTTTTATTTTGTATTTTTCCTTTTTCTTTTTTTTTTTTAAGCCTCTGTAATGCACAAGATAAAGTAGCCATGGAGTCAACTTCAACTCATGGTAACCCCATATGTGTTGGAGTAGAACTGATTCCATAGGGTTTTTACCAGCTGACCTTTCAGAAGTAGATCACCAGGCCTTTCTTCCAAGGTGCCTCTAGGTGGATTCAAGCCAATTTTTCTGTTAGCAGCCAAGCATGTTAGCCATTTGTCCCACCCAAGGAATACATGCAGTATAAACCAAAATCCAAACCACATTCACTACCATCGAGCCAAGTCCAACTCAGAGTGACCCCCAACAGGGGCACCAAGGCAGTGAATCTTTAAGGAAATAGATTGTCCCCATCTTCCTTCTGTGGAGGGGCTGGTGGGTTTGAACTGCCAACCTTCTGGTTAGCAGTCAAATGCCTTAGATACCGTGCCACCAGAGCTCCCTGAGCAGTACAAAGTACATCACAAATATGTTAAGGTAAACTGAATTTGTATGCACTAATAATGCAATTTTACAGTAAAATTTCACATTATCAGTTCATTTTCAAAATATCTTTTTATTTCCATCAAGCAACTCCAAGCTGAAGGCCACCTCTAGGTATGGTTGCAGACAACTGAGTAAATGAATAAAATGAACCATATATTACTACCACAGACAAGTTGCCAAGAACTAGGTAAAGGCAGATGAAAGCCTCTTCCAGAAAAATCTCTGCTTTAGTCTGATATCTAAGTAGATGGGCTATAAGTGAGTATGTTGTTGTTGTTGTTGTTATGTGCCATTGAGTCAGACCTGACTCATAGCGACCCCTCCTTGGGTTGCCAAGGCAGTATCACCATGGAAGTAGATTGCCCCATCTTCTTTCCAAGGAGTGATGGTGGGTTTGAACCGCCAGCCTTCTGGTTAGCAGTCAAATGCCTTAGGCACTATGCTACCAGAGCTTCCATAAGTGACCATAAAATGTTTATAATCAAGCAATACATTGAAAGGGCAGTGTAAAAGATTACTTTGGATTACAATTTTGCATAAATTTTTTTTCTTTTTAAATCTGTGTATGTAGTTTACACTATTTAGGGACAGGATATGATCACCAAGTAAAAACAAATAGGAATGCCAGCATAAGTTAGCCAATACAGTGAAACTTGGGAGAGCCAGAACTCAGTGGGACTGCCTTATTTATCCAGGTCTCACAAATTTTCTGCCTTGGACAGGGTATGGTCTGACCACTTTTCCATAGTTCTCTATTAGTGGAAAATACTTGAATTTTCCTTCTCTGACAGGTTTCAGTATTACACAGATTCCAGCTTTCCCAGGTTTTATTGTACTCGGAATTATTTGCCTCCAAATATAGTTAAGAACCGACAGATCTGTTCTGGAAGAAGTGCAGTCAGAATACTCCTTAGAAGCAAGAATGGCCAGACTTCATCTCACCTATTTTGGTCATGTTGCCAGAAGGGACCATTCCCTAGAGAAGAATTATCATGTTTGGTAAAGTGGAGGGTCAATGAAAAAGAAGAAGCCCTCAATGAGATGGATTGACACAGTGGCTGCAATGATGGGCTCATGCATAGCAAGGACTATGAGGCTGGCACAGGACCAGGAAATGTTTTGTTCTGTTGTACATAGTGTCACTACAAGTTGGAGCCAACTCAACAGCACCTACCAACAACAACATACTTAAGAACTCAGCTTTGCTCGAGCATTTAGTAGAGCAGCTCAGAAATTTTAACAGATTGCCATAGATTTTTACTGTTGTTGTTGTTGTTATGTGTCGTCAAGTCGGACCTGACTCATAGCGACCCCTCCTTGGGTTTCCGAAGTGGTATCACTATGGAAGTAGATTGCCCAACCTTCCTTCCGAGGAGTGGCTGATAGGTTTGAACCACCAGCCTTCTGGTTAGCAGTCAAGTGCCTTAGCCACTACGCTACCAGAGCTCCCAGATTTTTAGTAGTGTATCTTATTTATATATAGAAGGAGTGCTGGTGGTGTAGTGATTAAGACATTTGGCTGCTAATCAAAAAGTTAGTAGTTCGAACCAACCTACTGCTCAGCAGAAGAAAGATTGGGCAGTCTGCTTCTGTAAGGATTTACAGCCCCAGAAACCCAATGGGGGTCACTGTGAGTCAGGAATCAACTAGATGACAGTAAATTTGGGGTTTTTATAGGGCAATAAGCACTGAGAGCTGCCCTCAAGTCAGACTTCTAGTGACTTTATGCACAATAAATAAGTTCAAATTGAGAGAACAACAAAACTTCCCTAATAAAGCCTTTAACATTATCCTTCCCTTGTTCTCAAGTTTCCATCAGAATATCCTTCTAATTTCTCTATAAATGAATGAATGAATGAAACCTTCTTCTGAATTTTCTTAAACTGGTTTCATTGAGATGTTACTTGCCAGTCAACCATTTTCTGTGATTTCCCACTTTTTTAAAGGAGAGAACTGAGAGTATACAGTAGATGTAAGTGACTAGTAGAGGTGTAAGAGGAATTCAAAGTGGTCCAAACAGGATCTTAGATGTCAGTACCTAAAAGGAAATGGATCATCATGCTCTGCTTATTATAACAGGTTCACAAGAAAAAAAACGAAGAGTTCTGTGAAAGGTAACTGAATTTTCCCACGTACTCTCTCTAACAGTCTATTTGCAAATCTTAGAAATCACAAAAGAGTAGCAGTGAGGTCTTCAGGGTCTTTCGGCCTGGATACATAATCAGAAAACTGCCCTTATCTGAGTAATTTGGTCCAGCAAGATGCTGGGGTAATTTATAATCAAATAAGAAAACAGAAACAACTGCTAATGTTTATGAGATGATATGAGCTGGCAAATAAATGGTTACAGCTAAGTAGATGCATTTAAAAAAAAAAAAAAAGACACGTCAAGGATGTTTATCATCAACCTAAGAATAAGTGATCATGCCCTCTATTACTATTAAATACTCCAGATTATAGATTTCTATGTTACTTGAATTAATGAGCTTCTATTGTTGCAAGATACCTATTATCCTAAGTATTATCCTAAGGATGAGAGAAATTGCAGCAACCCTTATTTCAAATCACACAAATCATCCACATCACCGAAGGGTAACCTTAACCTCAACAATATTAAAAGGCTTATGAATTCTTTCAAAAGTTAAGAGATGAAAGAAAATCTGTTTACTGGTTATAAGGTTATATACTGTTCCTTAGCAACCAATGTTTGTCTTTCGTGTGACTAGAAGCTTATGAAATAGGGGGAACTAAAAATAAAAAGCATTTGGACAGTTTCAATTCACTGAGGCAGCACTTGGAAAACAGTACAAACTGTAAGGTTGAGTTAAAGAAGCTCATTGCATCAGGGAGGAAAGAAAGGACCACCTGCACTTTGCATAACATAGTCCTTTTCACAAAAGACCAAGGATAAATGCTGCATGTCTGTTTGTGTGTGTATCACATTTCAACACCAGAGACAAGAAGCCTATGGCACCTTACAGCCCATTCCTCTGGCTCTACGAGGCCAGTTGATCTGGGACTATCCTTAGGATGGAAGCTCACTCCTAGAGGCATCATTTGGATCTTCTACCTACCCTAGATCATACGGGTGCGTTAGTGGTTCAGTGATAGAATTTTTGCCTTCCTTGTAGAAGACCTGGGTTCAATTCCTGACCAATGTGCATCATGCACAGCCACTACTGTGTCAGTGAAAGCCTGCATGTTCATGCTGAACAGGTTTCAGTAGAGTTTCCAGACTAAGACATACTAGGAAGAAAGGGCTGGTGATCTACTTTTGAAATTCAGCTACTGAAAACCCTATGGATCACAATGGTGCAATCCACAACCAATCATGAGGATATTGCAAGGGTGGGTAGCATTTTGTTCTGTTGTGCATGGGGTGGTGGATATCAATCATGGGTGGATATCACGACCACATTCCTCTTTTTTACCCCTTACCTTGGCAGCTGATGTGACAATGTCATTTAGGGTACCATTTTTTTATAAGGCAAAACTTTTTTCATATTAGTAAGAGTATAAGTTACCTGGAAAATTAGTAAAAAGCCAGGTGAGTTCTACCTTATCTTCCAGTCCGGAAAGGTCACAGACACAGGTTCTCTGCTCCTTGAATGGATGAGGACTGGGAGATTTAGCAAAGGACCTCAAACTTCTAAGACAGCTCATGAACACTTTTGTTTAGGGAAATGAATGAACCCTCATTTCCCTCAACAACCCTGCAGCGGCTCCCTGTAGGTTTAAATTCCATTAGTCTAGTGGCGCCTGTGGGAGCTCTGGTAGCATAGTGGCTAAGACACTTGCCTGCTAACCAGACGGCTGGCGGTTCAAACCCACCAGCCACTCCTCGGAAGG